TCCCACCGGAGTGATACACCGGACCGGGTCCATTACTTCGTCGTTCCACCGCATCACCCATCAGATGATAGGGATCAGTCTGAACCAGTCCAAACCCCGTAGCACTCGAGGAACCGACCAAATAGTGACGATAGGTGGCCAAATCCTCCGTGAATTGACGATATCCGTACTCGAAAATGGTAAGGAACAAACAGAGAAAGATCAACGTGCCCGTGGTCGAAAGTGCTAATGGACTGATGAAGGCCAAAGGATTCAAATCTGCCGTTTCATCACTCATCGTACCATCCGCGTTCGGGTCTTTCAGAGTGACCGCATCACCACCACCGGCGGCATTGACCATGTGACTTGACGATTGTCTGTGCACCGGGTTGGTGATCAACCGAAGACTGATCATCCAAGCCTGAGTGGTCAACAGGGATCGATTACAAGCCAGTTTGACCAGGACACTGGCCGCACAGAACTCGATCAACACGTGCAATCCGGTCAGTAAGAGGAGCAAAGAGAACACGAATGAGAATGCCCGACTGGTGTACCAGAACACACTCGGATAGCGCAAACCCAGAAGCATGAGTACAAGAGCCAGATTGAAAAATTCCGGTGACATGGCTCGAAGATTGTCCCACTGGGAATAGTAGGCCGATTGTGCATATTGTTCTTGTTCTGGTTGTTGTTGTTGTTGTTGTTGTTGTTCCGGGCGGTTTGATTTCGCGGCCTCGGGCACATTGAATGCAATCAACGAGTCTGATTTGTGCACACTTTGACCAAATATGATATCCAAATCCGATCGCCAGACATAATCTGAACAAAAATGGGAAAACCAACAAAAATAATGAATGATGCAACGATATTCCTCGAATGCAAAACTGAAGAGATTAAAGTAAAAATGTCGAGTATGCGCAACAGATGATACTTTTTTTAAAATATATAGAACTATAAGTACAAGTGTACTAATGTGCGCTGGTATATGTTGTTGTCTTTTGTTTACTTATGTCGTCCTTCGACACAAGGAAAAAATGCAAGGTTAGGGCGATGGTAATATAAAACTTTGTAGGATAAACTAAATATGTGCAATTTTTCTCCCGTGTAGAATAAAAACTATTATTATTATTATTATTATTATTATTATTATAATTATTATTATTACGTAATGAAATTATTATTATTATTGTTATTATTACGTATTGAAATTTCACACACGTCTGAGACCATACTGGAAGCCAAACAAATCATGGCACAAAAGATCTTTTCATTATTTGCATGCGGCCCGAATACTACCAGTTTACCCAG